AACAGCAAAAATGTCAGCTTGAGGACTAAGGTGCACCTGAACCAAGCCATGGTATTTTCGATAACCTCATATGCATGCAAAAGCTGGACAGTGAATAAGGAAGACAGTAGGAGAATTGTTGCTTTTGAGTTATGGTGTTGGTGGAGAATATTGAATGTGCCGTGGGCTGCCAAAAGAACCAACAGATCTGTGTTGGAAGAAGTGTAGCCAGAGTGCTCCTTGGAGGCCAAGATGGCCAAACTTTGTCTCTCACACTTCGGATGTATTTTCAGGAGGGACCAGTCGCTGGAGAAGGATACCATGTTTGGTAAGGTGAGAGAAAAAGAGGAAGACCCCAGCAAAATAGATTGGCAAAGTGGTAGCATCAGTGGACTTAAGCGTGATAGTAAGTGTGAGGTTGGCCCAGGACTGTGCAATGTTTCGTTCTGTTGTGCATATGGTCATTATGAGTCAGTATTGACTCGATGGCAGCTAACAACAACGTCTAATGATCAAGAACATTTCTTCATATGTTTGTTGGCTGCCTGTCATTCATGCTTCTTTGTATTTGTTTTAATTTTACACCCTTTGCTCTGACACTTTTTAAAGTGATTTTTTAAATTAAGTAAAATTTGCGTTCTTTGAAATGCCAAAAATCTTAACTATATCATTCAGTGTGGTTTCATCATTCTATAAACTCATCTAACTATTACCCCTAACAAAATAGAGAACATTCCCATCATCACAGAAAGTTCACTCATACCACCTACCAGTGAATTTCCAAAGGCATCTATCACAGGCAGCCACTGCTCAGATTTCCCTCAGATTAAAAACCAAGGTTTTACTGGTACTTGAAAGTCATATGTAAATATGAAGGGCCTTCAAAGAGTATATGAAAAATGGATTTGAAAGATAATGGATTTTTTCCGTGAACTTTTTTAAACCCCCTTTTATACAACCATTGTTGTTGTTGTTGTTGTGTGCCGTGGAGTAGGTTCCGACTCATAGCGACCCTGCACTAGGTTTCCGAGGCTGTAAATCTTTACGGGAGCAGAACGCCTAATCTTTCTCCTGCGGAACAGCTGGTAGTTTTGAACTGCTGACCTTGCGGCTCGCAGCCCGATTCGTAACCACTATGCTACCAGAGCTCTTTACTTTATGTTTGGCTTCTTTCACTCAACAAAATATTTTTTGTGTTTTATCCATGTTTTAAAATATATCAGTAGTGATGCGTAGTATTAAATTGCAGATACTTAGTGCTTTCCTAAATACAAGGGGGCTTCAAAAAGTTAATGTAAAGTTGAGATTAAAAGATAATGGAGTTTTTCCATGAGTTTTTTGAAGACCTCTCGTATCTTACTGGCTACTCATTAAATACTGTGGTGACCAGGAAAAAAAGTATGCAAAATGTGAGTTTATTTTGAAATTTATTGTGAATTATTGCCCAGCATATGGTCTAACTTAGTAAATGTTCCATATTTAATTAAAAGGAATTTATATTCTGCGGTTGTTAGGTGTAGCCCTATAGTATCAGCACTAGACTGTGAACCAACCACAAGGTTGGCAGTTCAAACCCACCAGTTGCTCAGAAACCCTATACAGGGTAATTATGAGTTGGAACTGACTTGACAGCACTTAATAACCACAGGTATTAGATATAGTATTCTAAAGATGTCAGCTGTATCAAGGTGGGGTGGTTGGTTCCAAACCTGCTGTCGTACAGTTGATTCTAACTCATAGTGACCCTGTATAGGGGTTCTTAATGGGAAAGCCTCCTCTGGTATTGTTCAAGTATAGCTTTACAGATTTTTATGTCTTTGGTCTACTTGTTTCTTTAACTGAAGAAGGAGTATTAAATTGGAGATTAAATCATGATCTCCAATTATGATTGTATATTCATTTCTCCGTTTAGATCTGTAAGTTTTTACTTCATATAATTTGAAGCTTCTTTATAAAATACATGTGCAATAGTTGTTGTTATATCTTCCTAATAGGATCCCTGGTAGTGTAGTGGATTAAATGCTGAGCTGCTAATTGCAAGGTTAGCAGTTCAAATCTACAACTACTCCATTGGAAAAAGATGAGGCTTTTTGCTCCTGTAATAAGCTACAGTTTCAGAAAACTGAAACAAGGTTTCTACGAGTAGGAACTAACTCCATGGCACACAGCCACCACCACCACCAGCAATATATGGGGATTACAATTTCTGAATTTGGAATACTGGTGCTGTAGGATAAGCACTGGATTGCAACATTGGTTTGAACCGCAAGGTCATTGGTTCAAACCCAGCTGACACTCCTCAGAAACCGTATACAGAATCAATATAAGTCAGAACCACTTAACAACAGAGGCACTTAACAACAACAAATGTCTCCCTAATATCTCCTTTTATTATTTTATGCCCCTCTATCTCTGTTAAAACTTGTTTTCTTGAAGTTTGCTTCATCTTATATTGCTGTAGCAACTTGGGCTTTCTTATACTTACACTTGCTATAAATATAAATCTCTTGCTATTCTTTTACTTTAAAACTTTATCTTGTCTTTAAAGTATATATATGATTGTTGCTTTTTACAAGTTCACTCCCACAGACTCTGCCTCTTAGGGGGAATATTTAGTTCATTTAGTGCAGTAATTGATACAGCTAGATTCAGGTCTGTGTTCTGTGTCTTTTGTTGTTACTTATTTTGCTCTCTGTTTTTCAGCAGTTTGATTATAATATAATATACCTTGTGTGGATTTCTTTGCATTTACCTTGCTTATGGTTTACCAACCTGCGTGCATTTGTAAGTTGTATTTGTCAAGAAAACAAAAATCCTCACCACTGGACCAATAAACAACATTCTTATCAATGGAGAAAAGATTGAAGTTGTCAAGGACTTCATTCTTCTTGGATCAACTATCAACACTCGCGGAAGCAGCAGTCAAGAGATCAGACGGACGTATTGCACTGGGCAAATCTGCTGCACAGGAACTTTTTAAAGTATTGAAGAGCAGAGATGTCAGCTTGAGGACTAGGGTGAGCCTGACCCAGGCCATTGTGTTTTCAATAGCCTCATATGGGTGCGAAAGCTGGACAGTGAATAAGGAGGATCGTAGAATTGATGCCTTTGAGTTGTGGTGTTGGAGGAGAATACTGAAAGTGCCATGGACTGCCAAAAGAACCAATAGATCTGTTTTGGAAGAAGTGCAGCCAGAGTGCTCCTTGGAGGCCAGGATGGCTAAGCTTCGTCTCTCCTACTTTGGACATATTGTCCGGAGGCAACAATCGTTGGAGAAGGATGTCATGCTGGGTAAGGTGGAGGGTCAGAGAAAAAGAGGAAGACCCCCAACGAGATGGATCAGCCAGGTGGCATCATTGATGGACTCAAGTGTGGCAGCGGTAGTGAGGTTGGCCCAGGATCGGACATTGTTTCGTTCTGCTGTGCATGGGGTCGCTATGAGTCGGTTCCGACTCGATGGCACCTGATGACAACAACAACAACATTTCTTCAAGTTGACTATATGTCAGTCTTTTTGTCTGTATACCTAAGATTGGGTAATTTCTGTTGATCCTGTTTTACCATCTCTAATCGTGTTTGGTAGGGTGGAGGTTCAGAGAAAAAGAGGTAGACTCCCAGCAAGATGGCTTAGCAAAGTGGCAGCATCAATGGGCTCAAGCGTGGCAACGATAGTGAGGTTGGCCCAGGATCGGACAGTGTTTCGTTCTGCTCTGCATCAGGTCACTATGAGTCGGTACCGACTCGATGGCAACTAACAACAACATCAATCTGCTCTTAAGCCCATCCAGTTAATTTTTTATTATAAATACTGTATTTCTTAGTTCTAGAATTTCTATTTCCATTAATTTTCATTTCTCTGGAGAGATTCCTCGTCCATTCGCTTATTATGATAATACTTTTCTGTCAGTACTAAACCCACTGCCACTGAGTCATTCTTGACTCATAGCAACCCGACAGGACAGAGTAGAACTGCTCCTTAGATTTTCCAAGACTGTAAATGTTTACAGAAGCAATTTCATCTTTACCCTCGGAGTGACTGATGGGTTTGAAGTGCTGACCTTTGCTTATTAGCCCTTGCTTAACCCACTGTACTTAGATACTTACAAAAGCTATTTTTTTTTTTAAAAATTTGCTAATTATAGAAATTATTTCAAATTATACAAGTATATAATCGTAAGTCTCATCATGACTTTGGGTTCTGTTGCCCACTTTTTTTGTTGACCATGAATCACATTTTCCTGCTTTAATGCTTGGTGTAATTTTTGATTATATAGTAGAAATTGTGGGTAGTATTTTGTAGAGATTCTGAATTCTGTTACCTTCCTCTGAAAAGTGTTGTTTTCTATTTGCCAGGCACTTGAAGTCCTGGTGAATCACCTTGAGCTTGTGAAGCCTTTCTCTATACTTTGTTAGGGAGGGAGGGTTTCAGCTTTGTGCTTTGTTCTATGACATCTTTCTTGGCTCTACATAGTTATTACCCCGGAAATGTAGCCCTCATCCAGTTTCAACATGGTAGAAAGCCCAAGTTGTCTACCATGCCATCTAATTTTGTAGAATTCAGACTCTCAATTGTCTCTCTGTAGTGGGCAGCAGCTAGACTCTATTTTCAGCTCATTCAGTCTTCTAGCTGTTTTTTCCTCTGAGTTCTCACACATGGGATTTTCTCCTTCAGTTATCAGTTATGATAGCAAGAAGCTTTGTTTAATGATTCAGCTTTATTTCTGGTCACCCTGCTTTATACTAGAAGCACCCATTGAGTAAAAGGTACATAAGAGTGAGTCTCTTTTTCAGGGATTAAATTCCTTTCCATTTCTGCCTGCTTTTGACTGTTTTCTAGGACTTATTTTTAGTAGTTGATTTTTATGTTGTATTTAGAATTTATAATGAATACGTAGAATAGTGAGTTCAATACAAACTCTATCATTCCTGGAATTGAAGTGCCCATTTCTTAAATTTTACTTCAGATGGTTAATGTATTTCTGATTATTATCTCATTAGTTTCATTTTATCTTTATTCTTAGATATGAAGATAAAGCTGCTAAAGACTTGGAGCGATACAATAGGCAAATGAAGAAAGCTACCGAACAAGAGTCACAAATATCATTAAAAGACGGTGGAAAAAAGACAAAAGCCACCAGTGCATGGAATCTGGCCCAGAAGCACAAGTTGAAAACTTTAGTATCAAATCAGCCAAAACTTGATGAGCTCTTTCAGTCCCCAGCTATTAAAAAAAAGACCCAAAGTACTAAGATAGTACAGATCCCCTTTTCTATGAAAAACTTGAAAATAAATTTTGAGAAGCATAAGAAATTTGGCTTAGAAGAGAAAGATGAGCTTTGTTTGATCCACAATCTAAAGTTGCCTGATGCCTGGCTAATCGCATCCAAAAACGAAGTAAAGTTACTAAATCCATATAGAATGGAAGAAGCCCTACTGTTTAAAAAACTTCTTGAGAATCATAAACTTCCTGCAGAGCCATTAGAAAGGCCTATTATGCTGACAGAGAGGTATGGTAGAATTTTCTATTTTATTTTTAATCAAAAAACATGTACTTAGCCATACTAGATTAGAATGAGAAGGTTAAAGGTTAAAATTGTTTTCTAGTTGGGGAAAATAGTTTTTATTTTAAAAGAAATGTTTTTTTCAAAAGACCAGTTTTCTAATCCTAATGGAATTGCTTTTAAGTGAATAAATTTAGAGTAGTCTAGATACAGACAGTCTCCAGAGGAGAACAGTAATCATTCCTAACTGTCTTTGGAAGCTCGGTGATGCTAGAGGATAAGCACTGGACTGCGAGCCACAGGGTTGGCTGTTTGAGTCCACCAGCCAATCCTTGAGAGAAAGATGAAGCTTTGTATTCCTGCAGAGATTTACAGCCTCAGAAACCCAATACAGCAAGGGTGGGGAACATCTGGCCCAGGCTGCTTTGGCTGGCCTTGCCAAGGCACACAGTTCCAACCATCACATTGTGTTGTTGTTAAGTGCCATCGAGTTGGTTCCAACCCATAGTGACCATGCCTAGGGTTTCCAAGGAGTAGCTGGTGAGCTTGAACCTACCGACCTTGTGATTCAAACCAACTTTGTAGTCCAGCACATTAACCCACAGCGCCACACCAGGACTCCATCAGCCATCACATTAGGGGTGAATTAATTAAATGTTTCACCAAATCTAGCAGGCTAATTTTTAAATTGATAATTTTGTATAGTTCTTGGCAGGAAAAAAAAGATTCCCCACCCGACTCGATGGCACTTAACAACAACAACAACAAAATTATATAGGATCGGTATGAGTCAGAACCGACTTGACAGAACTTAAACACAGTGTGTCTTTAAAAATTTGTATGTGTGTCAGAACAGATGCATATAGTTCTTAACGTTACTATAGTATACAGCCACTCTTCAGAAATTCTGTATGGTTCACTCTGAGTTTCAGAGCCTACTGATGTCACTTAACAGCAAAGGAGCTGTCCATAAGTTGGGTATTTGTAACCTGGTATTGTCTTCAGTTCACTTTTGTCATTAATATCAAGCTCAGGTCTCTTCTTAGGGTAATGGGCGCCGTCCAGTAATGGTGAAGTTAGGTTGCAGTGATGTTCCTCAAATGTGCCATTTATTTTAACATTTTCAGCATAAACCAAAATAGAATTATACTGTGAATAGCTTTATCAACAGTTATCCAGATTTTACTACATTTGTTTCATCTTTTCTATCTATATATATTGTGTTTCCTTTGCTAAAGTATTTTAGAGCAATTAGCACATCTTTCAGTACGCATCTTTCTATTTTCTTATGTTACTGAACTGCTAACCACAAGATTGGTGATTCAGCTACCAGCCAAACCTCAGGAATCCTATACCAGGTGGCTATGAGTCGGAACCAACTCAACGGCACTTAACAACAACGAATGCCTTTTTCATTATGGTACACAATAATGATTTCTTGGAATTGTTCTCCATTTTCTCAATGATGTCTTTTCTTATACTTTAAATATGTATTTTTTTTATTTAGTTAGTATCTTATCACGGTCCACACATTACATTTGATTATTATGCACTTAAATCTCTTTTTAGCTCAGGAGGCTTGAATAGATTTAGATTGTACTTCCTGGCAAGAATGTTTAATCAGTGGTGCAATTGCTTCATGTTTCATCTTGCCAAAAGGCATTTATCAGTGGGTTCAACTGATGATGGCGTTATCCTTCCACCTGAAATTTCCCAGAAATAATTCTATTTAGTGATTTCATTCATTGATAATTTTTGTCCATATCATTTTATTACAAATTATAAAATGAGGTGTTTACTTTTTGAACCTTACTCATTGCTTTCTGCATAGATGAATAACTAATGACTAGATTAACGTCTCTTTTTTATAAAAATACTTAATATTTCTTTTTCAGTCTGAAACAAGTAGAAGAGAACACATGTATGACAAAGAATATAAAAACTCTGAAATTTTAATAAGAATATGTATTCTAGGGCTCATCATTGTATTAGTCTGTTTCTAGATACGGCTAAACACAGAAAAGCATTTGTTAAAGCTGTCTTTTTAAAATAAGGTTAACAGTAGCCCTAACCTTAAGTTTAGTAACCTTAACTAAAATCCAGTATATTTCTGTATTTTAAGTACTAAGGTTGACTTAGGAAACTGTTCAGTGGAAGAATAAGAAAACCCTCCTTTAGACTTTTAAAACATATAATTCAAAAATCATATAATACTTTTCTTTTTCTCCCCTCAATAAAACAATTCATACAAAACTGAATTTTAAAACTTGACTCCTTTTGTGAATGATATTTAGACTTATAGATCTAAAAAAATCTTTTTGTGCTTGTCCAAATTTTAGTTTTTTAATAGTATTTTTCTAAGTGAAACATTTTTTAAAAAAATACATAAGAAACTATTATTTTGGGCTCAGACTAGCCTCAAAATAAAATTGTCATCATTGTACATGGACAGCCCCAAAGCTTGATCTAAAATTATTTCCTTGTCTTCTTTTGAAGTATTACATACCTATTTCAGTTGTAAGTTTTTCAAAACTAAGTGATGGACTAATTGTCTCTCAGAGTTGGCAGGGATTAGTATGGGTGGGTTATAAAAAAGTAAGTCCCCTATAATAATAACAGTAATGTTGTTGGTACCGTCACATCAGTTCTCTCTCAGAGCAATCCTATGTACAGCAAAACAAAACCCTACCTGGTCCTGCGCTCTCCTCACAATCCATCCTATTTTCTAGCTCATTGTTGCTGCTGCTGCTGCTGTATCAGTCTGTCTAATTGAAGGGCTTCCTCTTTTTTACAGACCCTCTATTATACCAAGCATATTGTTCTTCTCCAGGGACTGGACCCACCTGATGTAGGTCCAAAGTGCATGAGATGAATAGTCTCTCCTTTCTTGCTTCTAAGGAGCATTCTCACTGTACATCCAGTATAGATTGGTTCCTTCTACCAGAATATATATTGAATATTCTTTGCCAACATCATTATACAAAGTCATTGACTTTTTTTGGTCTTTTTGTCCATATATCTTTTGCATATATATGAGGTGACTGAAAATAATAACAACTGCAATTTAAAAAACAACAACATTGAGTCCATTCATTCCAACTCATAGCAACCCTGTATAGGGTTTCCGAGGCTATAAATCTTCATTAGAGCAGAAAATCTTTCTCCCACAGAGCCACTGGTGGATTTGAATGCTAACCTTGTGGTTAGCAGTCTAGTGCTTACCCTAAAGTACCACCTGTGCTCCTTCAACAATAGCACTAGCTAATGATTATTGAGCACTTATATATGATAGGTAATTTGTTAATCCCTTCATTATTTTATCTTTAGAACACTCTTAGAGTAAGTACTATTATCTATATTTTATAGATGAAACTGAAACAATACTTAAGTAACTTACCTAGGCCTATACAAACAGTAAATACGTCTAACAGCAGAGCTTGTGCCATTTATTGCAATACTATGTCACAATGTAAGTGCCATCGCTAGGTCTCAGGTTAATTTTCTGAAGGTTGGTTAGACAGCACAATCTATTTTTCTTCTTGAAGCCAGGGTACAGTCTTCAGCCCTTCAGAGTTTAAGCAAAGACACTATCTATTTCCTCTTTGAAGGAGTATTGTTAAGTGCCATTGAGTAGGTTCCCACTTATAGTGACCCTGTATAGATAGGTAGATAGGGTTTCCGATGAAGAGCTGTGGGTTTGAACTGCTGACCTTGTGGTTAACAGGCCAATGTTATTCTGCAGCGCTATACCCAAACTCCATTTTTAAAGAGTTAAGTGCTATGGAGTCAGTTCTAACTCATAGTGACCTTGTATAGGGTTTCCAAGGAGCAGCTGATGTGCTTGGCTTTGCAGTTCAGTGCTTCATCCCACAGTGCCATACCAGGACTCCTTTAAGGAGTAGAGAGTTGTATAATGAAGGACTAGGTTACCATCCTTCACTAAAACAGACTAAAGTGATTTTCATACTTAGGACAGTCTAGCATGTGGTTTGTTGTTGTTAAGTGCCATTGAGCATGTGGTAAGCACATAAATATCCATTAAATGAATGGGAAAATAGAAACTACCTACATGTAAAGCAAAATAGACAACTTCTTGTAATAATATGAGACAGAATACCCAAGTTTAGAAAATACAAGAGGTTGATTTATGCTAGAGACATTCTTTGGCTACACTTCTACCTCAAAAAAAAACAACAACAACTTTTTTTTAATTTAAATTTTTTGTGTGAATGAGGTGAAAGTTTATAGAGCAATCACCAGTTTCACATTAAAAATTCCTATACTTTTTTTTTCATCTCACTGATTGCAGTCCCCTCAATGTAACATGGTATATCCCATTTCCTCCCTGTGTTGCCTGTTTCTATTCCTCATATTCTTAACACTTCTGAACTTTGTTCTAGGGTAAATGTTGCCTTTAAAAAAAAATAAATAAAGATCTAAAATAGGTACGTGTACCTCACTAGTGTTATTGTTCCTCATACAGACCTGTTGTTCAGCTAGAAATGGAGTCATAGGATGGGTTCAGTTCTAGACTTGAAGGATGGATAAGGGGACCAGTCTCTATCTGACCAGTAAGACTTTTTTGTGATTTTAGTTTTGGTACACATTTCAATCCCACTCTAAGGAGCTCTGGTAGCGTAGTGGTTACAAATTGGGCTGCTAACCTGAAGGTCAGCAGTTCCGCGGGAGAAAGATGAGGCTTTCTGCTCCCTTAAAGATTTACAGCCTTGGAAGCCCTACACAGGGTCGCTATGGGTCGGAAACCACTCAACAGCACTTAACAGCAGCATTGAGGACCTTCTAATGTGATCCCTTTAGAGCAGTAGGAATTGATAACCAGGTACCATTAGTTCTTCTGGTCTCAGGGTCCTAGAGACTGATGTGTGCGTGACTCAGTAGTCAAATAGACAAAATATTTCCACATGGTTTTTTTTGTTTTCATTACTCTTCTTTCCCCTGGACAGGCAGAGGCCAATAGTTGTACCTTAGATGGCTACTCGTGAGCTTTTAAGACTCCAGTCACTGCTTACCAAAGTAGGGTGTAGAACATTGTCTTTGTGCCCATTGACCTTGGTATTTCCCGAGACTAGGGACCTGAGCTCCCAGGTGCAGCGACTTATTCCTTCAAGGTTTTCAGTTATAGCTTAAGAAGTTTTCATAACTTTGCCCCCTGTATGCTCTGCCACACTCACGGATATGTTTGCAGCAAAAGTAAATCCCCGTGTACAGATATTCTCTATCAAACCTATATTTGTAGTTATACTTCTACTCTTCCTTCCACACCCGTTCAGCCTGTATGCCCATCTATGAATCTGACTGCAGATCACCATTGTCGCAGGACTGTATATATAACAGTATTTACCTCTGTTGCCTTTAATTCTTGCATTCCTCCCTTGTCTTCCCCGGCCTCCATCTTTTTTGGCCAACTCTTATTTGGGCTACATCAAAATTTTGTTTAGGAACCGGATCAATGAAAATAATGTCATATGCCACATTTGACAAACACGACATGCCTGCAATAAATTGAGGAACATTCTCCACAGCTCTGAATTGCTAAATGTATACGTTCTTATCCAGAAAAGATGACATTCTCATGATTGTGTTATTCCAGCAACCTTGACTAGCAATGAAAACTTAGGCAGAATGGACAACTTGGGTAACTCAACAATGTGTTATGTCTATTTTGAAGGTATAAAATGATATTATTTATAAATAAAAGTTTTCATTCATTAGATTTCACATTTCGTCTAGATGGTAGAGATGACCATTTTTTTATTTATCCCTTTCTGTGCTTGGCATTCAGTTGTTGTTGTTGTTAACTACTGTGGAGTTGATTCCAACTCATAGTGACACTGCTTAGGGTTTCCGAGGCTGGAAATCTTTACGGGAGCAGAAAGCCTCGTGTTTCTCCCATGGAGCCAATGATAGTTTCTAACTGCAGACCTTGAGGTTAGCAGCCCGATTCGTAACCACTACGCTACCAGAGCTAGGTTGTCTATAAAATATTAGCAAAAATATTTTTTAAAACAATTTCACAGGGCTGCTTGAATCTTTTTATTTTGTGATAGTAATACTTTATAAAGACCCCTTGTATTAATTTTCCCAAATTTTCTATTATTTTGTTTTTACATCTTTTAATAAATTAAAGGGCTGTACTTTCTTTTTCAGTCTTTTTGATGGATCTCATTATTTAGAGGTCTTATATAAAATGACAACAGATGACCAAGGACACAGTGGACCAGCATACCTGTCCGATCCTCGTCTCACAGCAAATGGTTTCAAGATAAAATTGACATCAGGTATGATGATGTGGTTTAATTATTTTCTGACTTGGAAAAATATACCTTTTCTAAGAGTTATGTATAGACATTATAATTTTCAGGTGTCGTGATATATTATCATCTTGGCCAAAGTACAATGTCAGCTGTGAAAAAAGTCTTATGTTATAAAGACCTCCTTTGCATGAAATAACCAAGTTTGGCCTCTCTTAGTCCACTGCCTACATTTTCATTTTTATAACTAATCAAATAGCTTAATTAACACTTTTACCATCTTCTGACATTGTACTCAAACTGCCTGCTTTGTTCTACAAACTTATAAAAAAAATTTCCTTTAGATGATAAAGCAGAAATAAATATTTATGATACTAGAATGACCTAACAAAAATGGATGTGTGTCTTTTTTCAAAGCATTTACTAGTTTTGCCAAGTAGACACTTAACACCAGCAGTCTTGCTATTTGGAGAAAAGATGATTAAATTCTATGGCGTCTCCAAAAGACTGTGATGACCTTCATTGTTCAGAATGAGAATTCATCAGGTGGAGAGCAAAAAGGAAAATCCTTCTGGCTAGGGGATTCCAGTTTTCCTAATTGCCCCCCTTCTCTGTTTTTCCATAGTTTCCACACTTAATTGCCTTTTCTCCTAGCTTCCTAGGCTGGTTTTATCCTATTTTCTCTTCGTCCCGTATCACAAGGGTTAACTCCATTGTCTCCTTCTACTTCTGTGTCATGACCAAAATATAGAAAAGTTTAACCAAAGCACAGTATTAGAAATTGTTAAAAGAATGTTTTCCTGAGACATGAAAAGAAAGCAAATAAAAATAATGTACCAAAAGCATCAAGTTTAAGTATATACAAGAAATACTTCGCTGTTATAAACGTAAGCTAATTTAACTTGTGCAGTTTTATGATATTGTTTTTTGTGTCATCAAGTCGATTCTGACTCATAGTGACCCTGTATAGGGTTTCTGAGGAGCAGTTGGTGATTTTGAACTGCTGACCTTGTGGTTCGTAGTCCAGTGCTGATCCTATAGCACCATACCAGAAGTCCAGTTTTAAGATGTATTGTTAAGTGTGGAGTCAGTTCTGACCCAAAGCAACCCTGTACGGAGTTTCTGAGGAGCAGCTAGTGAACTTGAACCACTGACCTTACGGTTCAAACCGACTTTGCAGTCCAGCACATTATCCCAAAGTACCATACCAGGATACCACCCCTAAATTTTTGACTTACCACCTCAACCCTTGTTGTCAGGTGCTATCGAGTTGGAACCAACTCATAGCGACTCCATGCACAGCAGAACGAAACAATGTCCGATCCTGGGCCAACCTCACTACCGCTGCCACACTTGACACCATCAATGATGCCACCTGGCCAATCCATCTCGTTGGGGGTCTTCCTCTTTTTCTCTGACCCTCCATCTTACCCAGCATGACATCCTTCTCCAGCGACTGTTCCCTCAACCCTAGATGGTAGTAAAAAAAAAGATATTCAGACTTCGAGTGAAAATAGGAGATAGTCCAAATCCCAACTCTGCAATTTAAAACAATCTGTCGTTGGAAAAGCCAGTTTTTAGTCTTTCTGTTTTCTCCATGAATAACAGCAACTAACATTTACTGAATAATTGTTATGTTCAGGGCACTAATCTAAGTCTGAAATGTCTTCTTTTAAATCTTCATAGTAGCCTTATGCAGGTGCCATTGCTTTCTCCATTCTCCTTGTGGGAAATCTGTACAAAGAAGCTCAGTGAGAGTAGTAGTTGTAGAACTAGGTATGGCTCTGTGGGATCAGCACTGGGTGCGAACCACAAGATCAGCAGTTCAAACCCACCAGCCGCTCCTTGGAAACCCTATACAGGGTCGCTGTGAATCAGAACCAACTCGACAGCACTTAACAACAATCTTAAACTTTGAAGCCTAGCTCTTAATTCATTTGTTATACTGTTTCTCTATAAACATTGGGATATATACTTTATAAAGTAGTGTGAGGACTCAATAAGGCAACTTTAACATAAAAGTCATTTAACTAGATGTTCAGATATTTTTTTCTCACCTCCCCATTTCATTTTCTGACCTGAACTGATTTGTCATTCCTTTGGCTCCTAGAAATCAAGTAGTTAAAAATAAATGTGCTTATTCTACAGACTGGGTAGTTATTTATCCCAACTGTTAAACTGCTCAACCAAAGGCACATGGAAGCAGTTAATTCAAAGACTTAATGAACCTCACAGACTCTAGCCTCCACGACTCTGAGACCAGAGTTCAGTGATTCTGTAAGGTTAAGTACTGGACTGCTAACCACAAGGTCGGTGTTTGAAATCCATCAGCCACTCTGCAGGAGAAAGATAGAGGAGGCTTTCTGCTACAGTAAAAATTTACAGCTTGGAAACTATACAGCAGGGATAAGGAACCTCTTTCTGCCAAAATGTATACCATCATTCACAAGTGATACAAAATTATCAACTTAAAAATTAACATGCTATATTTGGCTGCAAGCATACATTGACAGAGAACTTCCAGAGGTTCAAGCCGGATTCAGAGGAGGATGTGGAACGAGGGATACCATCGCTGATGTCTGATGGATCTTGGCTGAAAGCAAAGAATACCAGAAAGTTGTTTACCAGTGCTTTATTGACTATTGCAAAGGCCTTCAATTTGTGTGGATCATGACAAGCTGTGGACAACGTTGTGAAGTATGAGTATTCCGGAACACTTGATTGTGCTCATGAGGAATCTGTACATGGACCAAGAGGCAGTTGTTTGAACAGAACATGGGAACACTGAATGGTTTAAAATTAAGAAAGGTGTGAGACAGGGTTGTATTCTTTCACCATACTTATTCAACCTGTGTGCTGAACAAATAATCCAAGAAGCTGGGTTATATGAAGAAAAACATGGCATCAGGATTGGAGGAAGTCTCCTTAACAACCTGGGATATGCGTATGATACAACCTTGCTTGCTGAAAGTGAAGAGGATTTAAAATACTTACTGATGAAGATCAAAGAGCGCAGCCTTCAGTATGGATTGCCTCTCAATGTAAAGAAAACAAAAACCCTCACCATTGGACCAATAAACAACATTTTTATCAATGGAGAAAAGATTGAAGTTTTCAAGGACATCATTCTTCTTGGACCAACTATCAGTACTCATGGAAGCAGCAGTCAAGAAATCAAATGATATATTGCATTAAGCTAATCTGCTGCACAAGACCTTTTTAAAGTGTTGAAGAGCAAAGATGTCAGTTTAAGGACTAAGGTGTGCCTGAACCAATCCGTGGTATTTTTCAGTAACGTCACATGCATGTGAAAGCTGGACAGTGAATAAGTTATGGTGTTGGAGAATATTGAAAGTGCCATGGGCACCCAAAAGAACCAACAAATCTGTGTTGGAAGAAGTGCAGCCAGAGTGTTCTTGGAGGCTAGGATGGCCAAGCTTTGTTTCTCATACTTCGGCATATTTTCAGGAGGGACCAGTCGCTGGAGAAGGAAGGATATCATGTTTGGTAAGGTGGAAGGTCAGAGATAAAGAGGAAGACCCCCAGCAAGATGGAATGGCCAAGTGGCACCATCAGTGGGCTCAAGCGTGGCAACAATTGTGAGGTTGGCCCAGGATTGGGCAGTGCTTCATTCTGTTGTGCATAGGGTCGTTATGAGTCGGTACCGATTCAGTGGCACCTAACAACAGCATTTGGTGAAACATTTATTTAAATCACCCTTAATGTGATGCCTGGAATCCTGGCACGATGTTGTAGAATAAGCACTGACTCCCCCAGGTTGGTTTGAAACTTCAGGATTGTGGTTCACATCCTACAGCCTCTCCTAGAAAACCCTAAGCAGCATTGCTGTGAGTTGGAACCGACTTAATGGCACTAAACAACAACAGTGTGATGGCTAGAACTGTGAATGCTTTGTCAGGGCCAGACCAAGTTATTATGCAGACGAGACATTCCACAACCCTGCTTTATAGGATCGCTATGAATCAGAATCAACTTGGTGGCACAACAGCAGTATATGTACATATATAGCAAAGTAGATGTTTAACTTGCTTTACACTGAAGATAAAGATTTCTGTCGGGTCATTCAACAGACAGGATAGCTATTTTAACTATTCAACTCTTAGCTTGTAGATAGTATTTATTAAGTCCTGTTGAACAGTACTTTGCATGGCATTGAAGATGCAACATTAAACAAGCCCATCAGCTGTAAACCAATTTTATTTGACTGAAACATTCATGTTCTTTCATTTTTATTTTTTAGGCTTTTTTTGTTTTGTTTTGTTTTTTCTGCATTTTTCAAAACTCAGATCTTGAAAGGACCAGTTCTCTGTCTTTTGTTGATGTTAAGTGCTATGGAGTCAGCTCCAACTCACAGAGAACCTATATAGGGTTTCCGAGGTGTGGCTGGTGGATTTCAACTGCTAACTTTGCAATTGCAGTCCAGTGCTTATCCTACAGCATCACACCAGGATTCTGTCTTTTAGTGAGAGTGTTAACTTTGAGTCAACAGTTCAATGGTTGTTACAATGGATAAGGATAAAAGTATTTGAAATAGAAGATTGGGACCATAAGAACTTTGCTTATTAATAGGAATAGCATTCTGTACTGCATCAGTATTGTTAATTGCTGCCGAGTCGGTTACTACTCATAGCAACTCTGTAAGTGTGGCTGGTGGGTTTGAACCACCAACCTTGCAATTAGCAGTCCAGTACTTATCCTACAGCACCACACCAGGAGTACATGTTTTAGCAAGGGAAAACTTGTTGAACCACTTTTACATTTAAAATATTTTTCCTGACAATGAGGAAGCATTTTACAGACTTATAAAGTCTTCATAAAAATTGATTATCGTAATCCCAAATACAAGGGACTTCAAATAGTTTGTGGGGAAATGCAATTAAAAGATAATTGGTTTTTTTTGGACCCAGTACCTGTTATTGGTGCCACCTGGGCCTTGAACAGCTGCAGAGGTATCGAAGGTTTGATAATGGCCAAGAACAGACTAAGAGGGCAGAAGCCCAGGAGTGTATTTCACATAGCAAACCAAAAAACTTTAAATCTAAAAACAAAGCAAAACCGGTTACCACAAATCTTAAAATGAGAAACATTGTGAATAAAGAAAAAGTTACCAGAGTAAATAAAGCTTTTGTAGATAATGCAAAAGGAACTTGTGCATTTCTCAAAAGGCCTTTCCCTTGAATGTCTGCAGAAAAACCTGATTCCTCAGCAGCAGCCTGAACCACCCAGTCACTGTGGACCAGGCTACAAGATTAATGGTTCACTTGTAATGCAGTGGTGATACACCAAATTCCCAAGAAAAAAAGACTAATAAATTTAATGTTTTATTAAAAAAAAAAAAAGATAATTGATTTTATTCATGAACTTTTTGAAAGCCCCCTGGTATCTCGTAAGATTTCCATATCTGATTTTGCAAAGACAAAATTAAAATATTGCTCAATTTTTTCATCCTTTGCCAAATATTTTTACCCAAATTTACAAGTAATTCTGTGAATCGTGTAAAATATCTAAGGCAAATATAGTCAGATTTCAATTTAATCATACTATAAGAGTTCTAGAACCAGCATTAGTGAAAAGACTCTTAGAGTAATACTTTTCATTTTTTCTTTATATGTAAAATTCTACTTCTTGTCTAGCTAACCCCTGTTTCAAATCCAATAAAAGTTCCCCTGGAAGTTCAAACCTTCATCGTGTCTCCTTTATTGAACTCTTTACCTTAATGTTTGATTTTATGCCATCTTACCTTATTATTTCCCAAGAAGAATATTAGGATATGTTCTCTGTTAGTCTAGCACTGCAACTGCCATCTCCTTTTTAAATACAATGCTAGCTACTACTTACCTAAGATTGGACTCTTTTTCCTTGCTTCTAGGTGGAGATAGACTATCTCCCCAGTTACCCATCCAATCATGTAGCTAGTTTTTAGTTGTATTTTAGTTACTAAATTATTAAAAGTAGTAGTAGATACCATGTATCTTTAAAGCATTGCCTAGTAAAATATTTTGAAAAAACATTAATATTTTATTTCAAAGTTACTTACATATTATTAAATTGCATCAGGATTGGAGGAAGAATCATTAACAACCTACTTTATGCAGAAATGACATAATCTTACTTGCTGAAAGCAGGGAGGACTTAAAATACTTAAATGATGAAGATCAAAGACAGCCTTCAGTATGTATTGCTTTGCCTCAAATAAAGAAAACAAAGATCCTCACAACTGGACTAATAACACCTGATCCAAGCCGTGGTGTTTTCCATAGCCTCATATGTATGTGAAAGTTGGACAGTGAATAAGGAAGACTGCAGAAGAAATAGTGCATTTGAGTTATGGTGTTGGAGGAGAATATTAAAAAGTAGCATGTATTACCAGAAGAATAAACAAATCTGTGTTGGAAGAAGTACAACCAACTGCTCTTTAGAAGCCTGGATAGCACAAAACATTGTGTCTCATACTTTGGACATGTTATCAGGAAGGATCAGTACCTGGAGAAGCACATCATGCTTGAAAAAGTGGGGGGGTCAGCCTAAAAGAGAAAGACTTCAAATGAGAAGGATTGACACAATGGCAGCAACAGTGGGCTCAAATATAACAATTGTGAGGATGGCGAATGACCAGCAAGTGTTTAATTCTCTATGCAGAAGGTCACTATGAGTCAGAGCCAACTTGATGGCACCTAACAACAACTGAGTCTTGCTGCAATTTTTTTTAATTAAAATAATCACAGAAAGAATTCAGGCCTTAAAGTTAGATATTAAACCAGTAGAATAGAATTTGAACAGCAGTAGTTGTTGAAACACTTTTAATAAATATCCTGAGACTGTTTTCCCTCAAAATTAAAAAATATTCTAAACAAATATAAGCAACAAAACATCAATAACTGATAAAATAAAATTACATGTGGTCAGCCATGGAGGGCTAGAGTAGAAAGTGAAGCATCCAGCTGTTACAAAATGAGGGGAGACACACAAAAATACCCAAACTTGCAGATTTGTACCCATTTGACCTAGCTTCGATGGCTGGATGATCAAAGCTCGACTAGGGGAAGTTAAAAAAAAATTTTTTTGATAAAGGAAACAAGTGTAAATTGCTACAATTTGATGAACTTGACCTGTACTTGGGGAAGTAGTAACTTAGAATACCACCTGGGAAGTAAGGAGTCTTCACATCAAGGATACAGGACTGATAGGGATGGGCAACTTAGACATTGGCTACCTAAAATGGGGGGCGGGGGGTTATAAAGGCATAATGTAACTGGATTACAAGTTTTCAAGGGGAGTTCACTTTCAGAGTGTGCAGGTGAAGGTAGAGTCCCCACTGAATAGTTTTCATCATGTCTAGGCGGGTCTGGTGAAAGGAGATAGGGATGAAATTCTTATAATTCAGTAGTGAGTAATTGTTATCATGACTAATTGTGACTGTTCACAACTGTAAAGGTAAAAGTTTTGTAACATTAAACGGGGAGTAGTTAATCTTACATTCCAGAAACAGGACCCTAGGACCATTAAGGGAGAAGAGCATGAGTAGAATGTGGGCCACTATCCAGAGAATCAGCGACACCAGAGATAGAGGCAGAGATGGAGACATGGAGAGAGAGAGTAGCTGAAGACTCTAGATTCATGGGAAGAGAAAGGCTGTTTGCTGGCAGCCAGAAGCCAGGCTTGCAGAATGTGCCCTTTGGTTGTTTAAATGATTATATATATTCCTAAATGTTTTTGTGTACATCCAAAACAAAACAAAAACAGGGAATAGAAGCAAATACTGTTGATTTGTTGATAAATGGAGGGGATTGTAATCATTACAATGAAACGAGTGTAAAGCCAATGTTCTCATATGGTGCCAGTGAGCCACTTACAACTTAATATGGGTTTGAAATCTGTGAGTAATTATTATTTTTTCCAAGTAAGGAAGTAAAACTTTGTCCTGACTGTCTTGATTTCTAATGAAGTTTAACTAAATATTTTAGCACTGATTTGTTTTTAATGGACCTGTTCTGGAATATAATTTAAATTAAACTAAAATTACTGTGGTTATTTTTGTTTCTTTCTTTCTTTCTTTCTTTCTTTCTTTCAGGAGTTTCCATTGCTGAAAACTACTTAGAAATAGAAGGAATGGCTAAATGTCTCCCATTCTATGGCATAATGGATTTAAAAGAAATCCTCAATGCTATCTTAAACAAAAATGCAAAGGAAGTTTATGAATGCAGACCTCGAAAAGTGATAAGTTATTTAGAGGTATGTATTATTAGTATTAGATTGGAGTCCTGGTGTGGTGCTGTGTGTTAATGCACCAGACTGCAAAGCCATTTGAACTACAAGGTCGGCGGTTCAAACTCACCAGCTGCTTCTTGGAAACCCTAAACAGGGTCACTGTGGGTCAGAATCAACTCGACGGCACTTAACAACAACAAATTATTAGATTGGAGTCTTAGTGTGGTACTGTGGGTTAATGCGCTGGACTGCAAGGTTGGTTTGAACCACAAGGCTAGCATTTCAAGCTCACCAGTCGCTCCTTGGAATCCCTGTACTGGGTCAGTTTGAGTCAGAACCAACTCGATGGTACAACAACAACTACATTATTAGATTATGTAGGTTAGTTGGGTTTTTAGATAGCAAATTGTTTCTTAAAATAGTAATGTTTTTATATTTTTAAAGAAAATAGTATTCTTACTATATTAAGAAACAATTTACTTTCAACATACTAACCATGTCTAAAATATTAAACACTTTATAAGGTTTTTTGGTTTTTTGCACACAAATGATTGTGTTTAAATTAAAAGTTTCACATGTAGACTGATTGTGATATGCTATATAATGATCCTTATTGTAACAATATTTGTGGGGTGCGTATTGAGGAAAAACCTTAGGACTGAACATTTTGTAGTTACGGGTTTTATTTATTTATTTTTTTTTTACTTTCCATATTAATTTTCTTGTTGTTGTTGTTAAGTGCTGCCAAGTCAATTCTTACCCATAGTGACCCTTGTGTAGGGTTTCCAAGAAGCTTGAACCACTGACCTTACAGTTCAAATGACTTTGCATTCTGACGCATTAGCCCACAGTGTCACACCAGGACTCCAATTAAAGTCCTTAGAAAGGATAATAAATTGCTCCTTGTTATATCATATAGTGGAGTTATGGTGTGATGGTGTAGAATAAGCTCTGGACTGCTAATTGCCAGATTGGCAGTTTAAACCCATCAGTTACTCCTAAAAAATCCTATACAGGATTGATATGAATCAGAACCGACTCCACAGCGTTTAACAATAATATACCATATATCATATTTCTACACAAATACCGCTTGCTATACAGGTGTTTGCTTGCAGAGCAGTAGTTTGTTTGTGAAGCCTTTCAAACTGTGTAACCCCTTGTGTGTGTGCTTCCTGTGTGCACTGTGTGAATTATATATGTTGTTGTTGTTGTTGTTGTTGTAAAGTGCCGTCGAGTCTATTCTGACCCATTTGACCCTGTATAGGGTTTAGAGGAGCAGCTGGTGAGCTTAAACCGCAGACCTTGCAGTTCAAACACCTTTGCAGTCTGGCACATTAACCCACAGCGCCACACCAGGACTCTGCATTATATATGTAGGTGCATTCTATGTGAAAATACTGTACTTTTCTAAAAAGAACAATAATATAATGCTTAGCCTTGATTTCTCTGAATAGCTCTATAGTACTTGAAGAGATCAAGGCTAAGAATTGTACTAACTTCTTTTTAGACAAATACAGTATTTTCACATTTACTCTACAGCACTTAACAACAGCATATTACTTGAATAAGTACACAGTTTTCTAACAATATCCAGCACAAATGAGAGTTGTATACATTTTTTATTAATTCAAAATTAAGTAAGTGATGGGGAAAGAGTATAAGCTTAAAATGTCCAAGTAGTGTGAAAACAGTAGAGGTTGTTTCACAAAACCTCTATTTTTTAAAGTAATTGCTACTGCTACTACTCTGAGAACAAATCAGAACTTTAATAGGATTTAATGTCTTTTTTCAAATGAGCCATTTTGGTTTAGAATATAATCATGGTGTGTCTGCGATTTTCTGAGTGCCAGACTTCCCCAACAGCAGAGTTCACTTTTGATCTTTTTGGAGACTGTATTAGGAATATTTGTAAGTATTTCAGGAGCTTTGTCTCTTGGATATTCCCAGTACATTGTGGGGCTGTTTAACACTGAAAGTTTCTAGAGACTTCAAAGGAATCTTTTCTTGTGAAAGAGTTATTATGAACTTAAAAAAAGCAAAGGTTGAGGGAGTTGTCTATAGTGTTTTGTGTATTGGATCTAGTAATCCTAAAGGAATGCAGGGTGCTAAAGATAGTATCCTGGAAATGTCTCATTTAGAGAGCCTGAGTAGGAAAGATGACACAAGGGTACACGGATTGGAAGAGATTTAAGGTCAAAATGAACCTAATGTTTAGTTAGAATAAAGTAGGATGTTTAGGATGATAATGGGGTTGTGGTTAGAATTTAAGCTCTTTCGAGTACAATTTAAAACAAAATCTTTAAAGAAGCCAACTTTGTTAATACTACTTTACCCACAAATCTGATCCACCCTCAGTCTTCTTGCTTCAGAAAACAGTATCACTTACCAAAAATGTAGGCATTATACCATATAATCAGTCCATCAGCAAGTCATCTTGATTCTACCTCCAACTCCTATCAGGAATCTTTCTCGCTCAATCCGTGTCTTACTATCACAAAGCCTCTCAACAGGATTTAGGTGATTGTTACACTCTATTCTTTTTGCCCTGACTCAAATCATTATCTGCACAGCCAAGATAAAATATTTTCTACTTCACGGTATGTTGGTGTTAAGGGCCATCAAGTCAGTTCTGATTTACAGCGACCCTATATAGGATTCCTAAGGGGCAACTGGTGGATATGAATTACCCATTTTGTGGTTAGCAGTCCTGTCCTGACTCTACAGCATCACAGCAGGACTTCATATTATATCACTGTAAATTGTGTGACTTTCTCTTCACAGGGAGAAGCAGTACGTCTATCTAGACAGCTACCCATGTACTTATCCACAGAGGACATCCGAGACATTGTCCACAGAATAAAGTATCAGTTTGGAAATGAAGTTAAAGGGTGTGTTCATGGTCGCCCATTTTTTCATCATCTAACCCATCTTCCAGAAACTGCATGAATACCTGTGTTTAAGGAAATTAATTGAAATCAGCCCAGTTGTAAGATATTTTGAGTCCGTTTTTAAACCATCTTTATATATTATCGTGTATAAAACAGTTTATTTTATAAATGAGGATTTCCTCACTTGTTTGTGTTAGGAAAAAAATTTTTAAATTGTAGAAAATTTAAATAAACTAACAAAGACTGTTAATACACCTGATTCTCAAAACCCAGCCTCTGTATTAATTATAAGTTACAGGCATCAAATTGGATTTGTAGTAGTTTTGTGTGGTTGATTTACTAAATCAGCTCAGTACAAGAAGAATTCACATGTTATACCAACAGACTCAATTGGCAGAAGTTATCAATTTTTAAAATAGAATGAATACAAGGAGTAGGAGCAAGGTGGGAAAAACAAAGTTTTGAGGGAAAAGAATGTAGCTTCAACAGTCTTGCTGTCTTCTTCATCTTGTATTGTTGCTGTCTCTTTCTAATAATTGAATGGACTCTGAAGCCAAAATTTGTCACAGAACATGAGAAGATCTAGATTTTTAGCAAAAATTTACCGTAATCCTTCTGTGGCTCATGGGACATATATATGACAAAATATGAGTACCCACTCATATTTTCTACCTGTGGGGTTTAATAGGAAGCTGTTATCCCACTTTCATTGTGTACTGCCATCTGGTGGGGCCCCATCCAACCATCGCCAGGACAACCACCTCAGGACAAGTAAAAAACTATTGGTACTTACTGTAGTCAAAACAGCTTGGTACTGGTACAATGACAAACACATAACCAAATGGAACAGAATTGAAAACCCACAAGTAAATCCATCCACCTTTGGATAACTTTTTTTTTAGTTTTCACTGTGAATTGAGTGAAAGTTTACAGGGTAGATAATCAGTTTTACATTCAACAAGTCATATACTTTATTTCATAACACAGTTTACCCTCATTTCCTGTATCAAAAATTGTTTGTGTTTAGTTAGGTTCTGATTATCAAGCCATTGAGGCTAGGTCAGATGAGTGCTATCTACAAGTTTGGGTGTTCTTGTGCATCTCCCCTCACTTCAGATCCGCCGGATGCTTCACTCTCAGCTCTAGCCCTCTATGGCTATGTCCTTGTCCATGGGCTCAGGTGTCCCACATTTTGGACCAAACAGCCTGTCCTCTTTCTCTCATCTCTAAGTCAACAGGAGTCTATGGAACGTGGTGGAACTCAGCCCATTTCTTCATTGCTGCCTTTCCCCCTCGTCTACTCACTAGTAGACCAATGTAGTTGCCAGCAAGCTTACATGCCTGTTCATGTGTTCCCTTTGAGTTTCAGTCTTAGAGAGGGTTTGTTCTAAAGGGACTTGATTGCTTGCCTTGATGGCTTCTTGTCAAACAGCTTGCTTATTCTTGTAGTAGCCAGTCATGCTGACATTTTTGTTTTGTTTTCCTGATTATCTTTCTTTGAAGATGTATCTTCTGTCACCCTAGCTGTTCCAGGCTGGTCTGCTTGTTCTTTCTAGTGGGAATGTCCCACCTCAGAAGGTTCTGGATGGGACTCAGGATTCTATCTAAGGTCTTATACACTGCAAAGGCTCCGCAAGAGACCTGTTGCACTGGGCAAGTTGTAGATCCCGTTTTAGGTATTCCACGGATAACTCTTCTTTGACAAAGGACTGAAACTCATTAAATTGGGAAGAGATAATCTCTGTAACAAACGGTACTGATGAAACTGGATAGCCATATGCAAAAAAAATAAAACCCATATTTCACACCATATACAAAAACAAACTCAAAGTGAATCAAAGACTTAAATGTAAAACCTAAAATTATAAAGGCCATCAATGACAAAGTAGAGACAGACTTAGGTACCCTAATACATGGCATAAATATATTATCAAAATAACCCAAACCATAGCAAAGCAAACTAGATTACTGAAACCTAAACCTTAGATACTTAATGTGCATCAAAGGATTTCACTAAAAGAGTAAAAAGGGAACTGGGAAAACAAATTTGACAATGGCATATTTGACAAGGTACTAATCTCTATAGAAAACTCTGACACCTCAAGACCAATATAATCCAATTTGAAAATTGGCAGAGACTATGAATAGACACTTCATTATAGAACCATTCGTCATAGAACACATTCAGGTAGCCAGCAATACAAGAAGTGTTTGTGATTATTAGCCATTAAAAAGATGCGATGATTAGCAAAAAATAAAAATTCTGATGATGGTATGGAGAGACTGGAACCTTCAAGATTAGGACACAAAAGAAGTTAGAAGGAGCCAAATCAAGACTGTAAGGTGGGTGCCTAATGATTTCCTATTGTTGGGTGCCATCAAGATGACTGACTCATAGTGACCCTATGCACAACAAAAGGAGAAACACTGCCACACTCACTCATTACGCTTGAGCCCATTGTTACCACTGTCCCAGTCCATCTCATTGGAGGGCTTCCTCTTTTTCACTGACCCTCCACTTTAGCAAGCGTGATGTCCTCCAGAGACTGGGCCGTTCTAATACAATGTCGGAAGTATGAGAGATGAAGTCTTGCCGCCCTGATTTCTAATGAGCATTCTGGTACTTGTAACAGAAATATTTTTTCTGACAATCCAGGGTACTTTAATACTAATCTCCAATAACGTAATTCAAATGCATCAACTCTACAGTCTTCTTTATTCATTGTACAACTTTCACATGCATATTACTGAAACAATGGGTTGGGTCAGATGCACCATAGTACTCAAATTGGCATCTTTGCTCTTGAATATTTTAAAGAGGTCTTGTGTAGCATATTTACCTAATGCAATATATCGTTTAATTTCTTGACTGCTGCGTTCATGAGTGTTGATAGTGGATCCAAACAAAATGAAGTCTTTGACATCTTCAATCTTTTCTCCATTTATCATGATGTTATTTATTGGATCAGAGGTGAGAATTTCCATTTTATTTACATTGAGATACAACCCATACTGAAAGCTGTGGTATTGGATCTTCATCAGTAAGTATTTTAAGTCCTTTTTGCTTTCACCAAGCAAGTTTGTATAAGCTACATATTGCTGGTTGTTTATGAGTCTTCCTCCAATCCTGATGCCACATCCTTCTTCATATAATTCAGCTTCTCAGATTATTTGAGTTGTATGGTGAAGGATTGAATAAGTATGGTAAATGAATACAACCTTGGTGCACACATTTCCTGATTTTAAACCATTCATTGTCCCATTGTTCTGTTTTAATGGCTGCCTCATATTCTATGTACAGATTTCTCCTGAGAACAATTAAGTATCTGGAGTACCCTTTTTTCACAAGTTATCCATAGCTTGTCATGACCCACAGAGTCAAAAGTCGTTGCATACACAACCCTGGTGTGGTGCAGTAGGATAAGTACTGAACTACTCGGTCGGTTTGAACAACAGGTTGGCAGTTTAAACTCACCAGCTGCTCCTCAGAAACCCTATACAGGCACATAACAAAAAAATTTGTTGCTGGTTTTCTCTGCTTTCAGCCAAGACCCATTTGACATCAGTGATGATACCTCTTGTTCCATATCCTCATCTGAATGTGGCTTGAACCTCTGGCAGTTCCCTCTCAATGCAATATTGCAGCTGTTTTTGAATTATCTTCAGCAAAATTTTACTTGCATGAGATATTAATGATACTGTCTGATGACTTCTGCATTCTGTTGGGTCCCCTATCTTTGGGATGGGTACAAATATGGATCGCTTCCAATCAGTTGGCCAAGTAGCTATCTTCCAAATTTGGCACAGATGAATGAATGCCTTCAGTGCTGCATCAGTTTATTGAAAGATTTCCATTTGTATTCCAACCATTCCTGGGGCCTTATTCTTTGTCAATGCCTTCAGTGCACCTTGGACTTCTGCCTTCAGTACTATTGGCTCTTGATCATCTGCTATCTCTTGAAATAGTAAAACATAGACCATTTCTTTTTGGTACAGTGACTGTATATCTTTCATCTTCTTTTGATGCTTTTTGCATCATTCAATATTTTGCCTATAGAATCCTTCAAGATTGTAAGTCAATGCTTGAATATTTTCTTCAGTTCTTTCATCTTGAGAAATGCTGAGTGTGCTCTTCTTTTTTGTGTTTTTAACTCCAGGTCTTTGCAACTGTGATGCATATGGGTTGCTATGAGTATAGCCAAAAAAAAAGGTCTATGTTGGTGACACAGGAAAGCCCACATGACACTGTAGGATAAGCACTGACTGCTAATTATTAGGTCAGCTGTTTAAACCCACCAGCTGCTCCTCAGGACAAAGATGAGGTTTCCTGCTTACCCAGAGATTTACAGCCTCGGAAACCCTATACGGAGTCATGGGTTGGAACCGACTCTACAGCACCTAACATGTTGGTGCCATATGGCCTCTGATGATGAAATTTATTTTGTTCTAATTTTCTTCCAGTCTTAAACTGTCAAGTCATGTTAGTGGTGATGGCAGAAGTATTTACCACTAATTTGCCAGGTGTGATGCTGTAGGATAAACACTGAACTGCTAACAAAAAGGTCAGTGGTTCAAACCCACCAGCTGCTCCTTGGAAACCCTATACTATGAGTCACTATGAGTCAGAACCAACTCAAGGGTACCCAACATGCTAAGTACTTAACCTTGGATGATCCCATTTAGCTTTCAGAACAAATTTAGGATCATAAATACTATTGACACTAACTTCATAGCTCACATTCTTAATGACTGTTACACCGCCTGTCATGAAATAGTATCCTAAGGAGTCATTTGGGTCCACAAAACAGGGATTTGGGAGGGGGGCGTAGTAACAGTATAAACTCCCTTGTTGTTGTTAAGTGCCATCGAGTCGGTTCCGACCCATAGCGACCCTGTTGTGTAGGGTTTCCAAGGAGCAGCTGGTGAGCTTGAACTGCCGGCCTTGCAGTTCAAACGGCTTTGCAGTCTGGCGCAATAACCCACAGCGCCACACCAGTACATAAACTCCCTAGTGCTACTTAAACAGCATACTTCTTTTAAAAATTCAACCTTAGGTTG